GGGGGCGGCAAAGTTGTAATGTAGAGAATTGGGAATCTTTGAGCTAGGAAGCTACTAAGCTATAAGCTACTAAGTAGTTGGGCTTTTTTTTGCTTTTGGAAGGCGCAGTGGGCGGCGGCGGCGGCTATGGGAAAAAGAAAGGCGGCGATGAGAGTGGTAATAAGGTGTATGAGTGCAGGTTTTGCTCCCTCAAATTCTGCAAGTCTCAAGCTCTCGGTGGACACATGAACCGTCACCGCCAAGGTCCCTAGCTAGCTTACTTAGCTATATACCCACAACCATTATCTCTATATTTTTAACTAATAATGACCTTTAATTGCAATATAATCCATTAAATTAAATTTGTGTTTTTTTTAACAGAGAGGGAGACAGAAACCCTAAACCGAGCTCGTCAACTTGTTTTCAGTACCGACACCAACTTGTTAGCCCAAGGACCCCATCACCTTCCAATTATGGGGTATGTATGTTAATTAACTAGCAGTAAATGTTACAATTATACTACCTCCGTCTCACTGTCTTTGTCTACTTTTGACTTTTGGAACTGTTCATCTAAGCACTTTGACTCATCAAATTTTCTTAATGTGTAAGCCTAAAAATAATCATGTGTGATCTTGTTTGATTTGTCTTAACATATAGATTATTAATATATAATTTGTATAATTTTTTAATATACAAATTACAAGATAAAATGAATTAAAGAAGTGTATTGGATGGTGTGCCAAAAGGTAAGTGGACAAAGACATGAGAGGGAGGGAGTATATCAATATATGTGTGCACTGAATTGTAAAAATTATTGTAAATAACGTCCGCATGCAGGTATCAAGCACTAAACATGGGAGACCCAAACATCCACTACAGATCAATCTACCCCCCAAGATTATTCCCGGGACAACCGGCGGGCGCCACCATCATACCACCGCTGCCGACCGGACAGCCACACACGTACGCCCCGCCTCCGCATTATCCGGCGAACGACTACTTGGTTGGCCGCATCCTCCCCACCACCCAATCCCCCGCCATGGCAAACCTTGAAAACAGTTACACCTGCATCGGCGCACCGGTCGGGCAGGGGTTGCTGCCCGGCGGTCGAGGGGGCCCGGAAGTGGGTCCCGCTAGCGGCCGCAACGACATGCCACCCTACAATGCTGATCCTCTCACCAATCGCTATCAGGACGGATTCTAATTAATTAATGTAGCTTTATTTAACTTCAATTCCATTTCCTAGGTCCTAGATAGCTTTTAATTAAGTGACAATATTTTTTTTTAGGAAAGCAAGAAAAAAAAAGTACGTGTTTGACACTGGGAAAGAAAAACAGCTAGGATCCCATCCCTGAAACCTAAAAAGTTGATAAAGCTGATTAGGGATTGGATGGGTACGTGAAATTTGTAATGTTCCTGTACAACAACAAAAGAAGTGTTAGTGGATGTTGTTGTTGAAACTTGAAAGTATCCCTGTCTGCTGGGTTAACCAAACAAGTACGGAGTTGTAGTTAGATTTCAACCGAATGCTCTAACTACTATAGCTATATATAGGTAGTCCTCCAATTGATTGACTCTCTCTTGTGCATTTTGCTTTGGAAAATGCTAAAAACTCCCCACCCTTGCTACCACTCATGCCTCCTACATAAATATGTGGTAGGGAGGCAAGAAAATTAAAATTAGAGGGTTGGTGGAGAATAGGTATAGATAAATATGTGGTAGAGAAGCGGGTGGAGGCAATGTTGGTAGCAAGGGTGGGGGGTGTGTAGCATGGTCCTTTTGCATTTGCATGGGTATCTTACAATTTCCCTTACAAATTCTTAAAAACTACTTCCGTTCCACAAAATCCTTCTAGTTTTAACTTTGGAGAAAAATAAAGAAAGTGTAATTTTGGTTGACTTTCCAATTTTGCCCCTAATGTAATGGGAAAAAATAAGATGTGATAGTTTGGTTATTAGTGAAAAAGTATGATGTGATAGGTAGGGTATGAAAAAGTAAGGATAAAAGTGGTTTTTTAATAGAAAGTGGAAGTGTTTTGTGGAAAACAAAAAAAACGAAAGAGGAAGGATTTTGTGGAACGGAGGAAGTAATTTACTTAAATAACACTAAAACATAATGACTTTTCTTAATTAAATATCATCACATGTCTTTTTTTTATATAGAACTTTTAACCATTATATATTACTCCCTCCGTCCCTAAATAAACTTCCACTTTCGTTTTTTCTTTGTTTCCAAATAAACTTCTCTTTTCCCTTAAAAAACCCTTTTACCCCTTACTTTTTCATACCCTACCTATCACATCATACTTTTTTTACTAATAATCTGCATATCACATCTTATTTTTATAGATCACATCAAGGATATTTTTGAAAAGTCAACATCAAAATATCCCACCCTTAACTTCTCAAAAAGTCAAAAAAGGAAGTTTATTTAGAGACAGAGGGAGTAATTGTTATTATTTAAGTAAATGTTGGTCATCACTGGACATTATGGACATTATTAAGTGATATTTAGAAAATAAAATAATTTAAGTGTTATTTAGAGAAATGACTTAAGTTTAGTGCTATTTAGTACAAATTTTTCATTCTTAAAAACCCAAATTTCTTATTCTTCCATGCTGTAAAAATTTTCAACTTATATAAATATAAATATATATATATATATATATATATATATATATATATATATATATATATATATATATATATATATATATATATATATATAT